GGGCGGTGCTGAAGGTGGGCTCAGAGCCAGCAGCCTGGAGCAGGGAGGGGGAGGGGCCTGGCTCTGGAGTAGGCCATTCCCGGAAAGTCACCCTCCCTGACCAGGGCAGGAGGGGGAGTGCTGGAGGAGTCAGGCCTGGCTCCTCACTGTGCCCTAAGCCAGGGAACTAGGGGGCTGCAGGAGCTGGGTGTCCTGATCCCAGGCCTCAGTTTCCTCATCTGTAAATGGCAGTGAAGCAACCCTGGGAAGCAGCAGGGTGGAGCAAGAGAATGCACACCACGCAGCCCCTGTAGTCGGAGTGCTCGGACACCCTCTCCCAGCTGGCCTGGTGCTGGGTCAGGGGGGCGCCGCCCTCAAGCCTGCTCCCTGCTCTCTGTATGTCTGTATTTCCCATCTTCCCTTTCCTGACTTCTGGGAGAACAACTCAGCCAGAGATGGATAGGACCTTCGAAAGTTTCTCCTTTGATCTCTTTGCCATTTCCCAGATGGGAAAACTGAGGTCTGCAGAGAGGAAGAATCTGCCCAAGTTCAGTGACTCATGCTTTGGACTCATTCCTCTTTTTATTTATTCATGCACACAGAACTGGGGTACAGGCCAGAGGTGCAGGGGGTGAGAGGATTCACCAGAGACAGAGTGGGGAGCAGAACAGGCCGACTGATGAAGTACACTGCTGAGGGGAGCAGTGGGCAGGTCAGGAGAGGTCTGCCATGCCGTGTGGTCACCTCCAGGGCAGTAGGGGATCGAACTCTCACTGAAGTGACTGTGACCATCCTGCAGTGCTGCACTTTAACCCATTGCGCCACCAGGGAGGGTTCTGGACTTGTTCCTCTGAGTAGGAAACTGAGGATTTCTGAAAGAAGCCCCTTTGTCTCTGTGGGCCAGGAGAGAGGGAAGTGTGTGGGGGGTAGCTGCCCAGCAGTTGGGGAAGGACAGGTAGGACAGCACTGGGCATAGGGAAGGGGCCGGGGGAAGCCTGAGCTCTTGCTGCAGCCAAGCCAGGATGTGCCAGACGCTCTGTGGGCTCTGTCTGCATCCAAGGAGACCAGGACACTGGGTGGACGGACAGTGTGTCCTTGCTGGCTGGGCCTGGAGGAAGGCTGGGGAGTGGGGGGGTCATTCTGGGAACGGGGGCTGCCTGCTGGGGCTGGGCAGCATTTCCCAGCATCTGCTCACCTGCCCTGATCCCCAGAGAAGCCGGGGCCCCACATAGGGTCTCCCAGCGGCTGTAGGCACAGGACGCAGATGTTCGAGGACAGGTGTGGTGGGCACACAGGGTGGGGGCACGCACAGAGGCACAGGGCACACATGTCATGGCAAGGTGCGGGTGCTGGGGTGGAGATGCACGTGCAGGGACTGAACCCTGGACTGAGCTTCCCGGGGCCCGGCCAGAGCGGTCGTGGCAGGCGCGGGTCGGTGTGGTCTGTGTTCTCTGTTCACTTGCTCTTGGGCTTCTCCATATGTGCAGGTGGAGGTGAGGGGGCACACGGACGGCCTCGTTTGAGACTCACCAGGCCATGCAGCAGCTCAGCCTCAGCCTCAGGCAATAGGAGCAGGCTGGCACCCGCTGGCAGATGGGACTGAAGGCAGCTGCTGCCTACAGCCATGAGGTCCTGCCTTCTGCAGGAAGCAGCCCCCTACCCAGCCTCCTCACGGGATAAGAAAGTGGCCACCATGGTGGGATGTGGGTTTGATTCTGGAGAGTCTCTGTGGCAGATCTTGGCCTGGGGGACGTAGTCTGGGAAGTGAGTCCTGCTTTGGTTCCTCTGAGTAGGGCCAGGCCATGGCCATGGAACCTGAGGGTCATCTGGAGCCTGTGCAAAGGAGGGACCCCTGGCTGGAGAGTCCCCACTTTGAAGCTGTTTCCTCACCTGCGGAGTGAAGCATCCCCACCCCCACCCAGTACTGCTGGACCCAGACACCATAGCCCCTCCCTGAGAGGGAGGCTGGAGCCCCAAGGTCATCTCTGGGATGAGGCCTGAGGCCATGGTGGTCCCCGGGCTGTGCTCTCTTGCTCATCTGGGAGTGGGGATGGACTCAGGCGGGGGAGGAGGGGGGCCGAAGGTGTCTGAGGAGGGAGGCAGGCCTTCCAGTTCACTTAGTGAAAGGATTCGTCATTTTAATGATG